AATATCATTTAAAATTACATATAAAGTTATAAGAACATATAAACGAGAACAAAGGGTGTATATGTAAAGGAATCCTTTAAAAGCTCTTCATAGCTTTTATTAATTATTTAATTAAATTATTTTATTTTATATTAGTGTTAAAAATAAATTTTATTTCTTTAATTTTTATTATCATTCATATAAATTATGTAAAAATATCATTTAAAATTACATATAAAGTTATAAGAACATATAAACGAGAACAAAGGGTGTATATGTAAAGGAATCCTTTAAAAGCTCTTCATAGCTCTTCATATATATTTCCTTTCCCTTGGTTTCCCCGAATTACATACAATGCATCTCGGGTTCTTCTACAAAAGTCTTGGTCCTTCTTTTGACCTTTTCATATTAGTTCCTATTACAGATAGACTTTTTTTGGTTAAAAAATATGCTAGAATTACAAACAAAGACCTATAAGAGTTCTCTTAACTGGAATTTCTTTTACCTGTTGTTAAATAAATAATTTCATTTCAAGTTTTGTTTATTCCCATCATATGATGAATATCAAACCACTTTTTCACTTTTACAAACCATTTTTGTTCTGAAAGTGTGAATGCTAGGCTTCGTTTTTCTGTTTTTCTATTAACCAAGAAGACCTTGACTCAATGCTTTTAATATTGAGCTAGCTAGAAATGTGTTTTTCTGATGAAAATTGAGTTGTACAACTGAATTGAAGGGCAAGGTTTCTCCTTGATGCTTTGTATGACCAAAATACAAATGCATAATGGTGCTATAACTCTCTGTTTCCATGGCGTTGCTTTGCTCACCTTATTTGTTCTTAATACTACAGGCGCGCCAAGTGGAAGAAATTTAGCCTGCTGGATAGAGAACCAGCCCAACTGCGACCAAGGAATTGGTCGTCGATCTCCTCCTCCATCTCCTCCTCCATCTCCTCCTCCTTATCATCCTTTTCCTCCATCCTTTTCTCCATCTCCTTCGACAAATCATGCAGCCCCACCAACCTTTCAGTTTGCTCCACCTGAACCACCTAATCCCTTTCCTCCAAAGGGAAGAAAGAATTTGGAAAGAAAAAATATGAAGAGATTACTAGTCAAGATTATTATTGCAATATTTGCTCTAACACTTGGCTTAGGTTTCATTCTGTTCCTTTTTTGGTGGAAGCGGAAAGAAAATAAACAAGATGTTCTTGCCTTTGATATGTCCGTTGGTGATGAATTTGGGAATGGCTTGGGACCTAGGGAGTTCTCTTTTGATGTATTGTCTAAAGCAACAAAGAATTTTGCAGATGAAGAGAAGCTTGGCGAAGGAGGGTTTGGAGCGGTTTATAAAGGTTTCTTGAGAGATTACAATACAAATGTAGCTGTTAAAAGGGTTTCAAGGAGGTCAAAACAAGGGATTAAGGAGTATGTGTCAGAAGTAAAGATTATTAGTCGATTGAGGCATAAGAATTTGGTAAAGCTGATCGGATGGTGCCATGAAAGGGAACTCTTACTTGCTTATGAGTTCATGCCTAGCGGCAGCCTTGATTTCCATCTCTTCAAAGGGAGGAGCTTGATACCATGGAAGATTAGATACAAAATCGTGCAAGGCTTGGCATCAGCATTGTTGTATCTACATGAAGAAGGAGATTTATGTGTATTGCATAGGGACATAAAAGCAAGTAACATTATGTTAGATTCAAATTTCAATGCTAAGCTTGGAGATTTTGGATTAGCCAGGCTAGTTGACCATGAAAAAGGATCACAAACAACTTTATTGGCTGGAACCTTGGGATATATAGCTCCAGAGTGTCATAGAACAGGTAAGGCAAGTAAGGATTCAGATGTCTATAGCTTTGGAATTGTGGTACTTGAAATTGCTTGTGGTAGAAGGTCAATAGAGCCCATATATGATGAGCATCAGGCATCACTGGTGGCTTGGGTTTGGGAAGCATATGAGAATCAAATGCTTCTTGATGTAGCTGATGAGAAACTCTGTAAAGACTTTAACGTGAAAGAGATGGAGTATTTATTACTTGTTGGCTTATGGTGTGCACATCCTTCTCGTAGTATGAGACCGTCAATTAGGCAAGCAATCCAAGTGCTTAATTTTGAGGCAGCACCTCCAAATCTATCTAGTAAGATACCGATTCCAAATTATGATGATATCCCTAGTACTTCCATCATTAGAATAAGTGAACCTGGTTTACTTAGCATTACTATCCCTCGCTAATAGTTGTGTCTATGTTAAGATATGAACACAATAATTTAGATTATATTTACACTTGTTGTAAATATTTTATATCTTAAAATACTCTTTTTGTATCCTTTACACCTTTGAATATTTTCTTTGTAAACATTTATATATAGGTTATTATACATAGAGTATTATTCAAGAAAGCAATAAATCTTTCTTCAAATATTTCTCGTTCTTCTCTGTTTTTAACATGATGTCAGAGTTATAAGCTCTTGGTTCTTCATTTTTATTATATCATTGCTTGGTTTTTGAGTAGGATTTTTAGATCTATTTTGGATCTGAAATTTTGTCATTGGGCTCTCTTCTCCTTTAAATTTGATTGTTTATTTTCAATTCTCAAGCCCTTTCTGAGATATTTTGTTGAGTTGTTATTTTGACCTTTGCATCTATTTCTTCATATTTTTAAATATTTCTTCAGTATTGTGAGTTATGTTGATTCTATGGCGAGTTTTGAAAGGACTATGACTCATCCTACTGCTGCAATGGTTGCCAAAGAAGTGATAGACCAACCTATTGTCAACCCTAAATCTTTAAAATAGGTGTTATTAAATCTTCTTAATGCTCCTACTGCTTTATCTACTGCTCCAGGTACAAAACCTTGGTATTTTAATTTTGGTTGTCGTAATCACATGTCTTCAACTACTACTCATTTCAATTATTACTCATTTCTATTCAATGTCACCGAATAATTCATTTCCTAACATTTATTCTGTTAATGACTCTCCTATGAATGTTAGTCACGTTGGCAATATTTTTACAAATTCATTGACTTTACTAAGCGCTTTCTTGGTTCCAAAACTTAGTTACAATCTTCTATCTATTGGTCAATTATGTGATCTTGGTCTTGAAGTAACATTTTCTGCTCATGGTTGTCGTGTGCAGGACCCACAGACAAGACAATTTCTTGGAACTGGTCGCAAGGTGGGGCATCCATTTGAGCTCAATTATTTGCATATACCTCATTATAAAATGGATACACCGTCATTTTCAAATGACCGACTCATCCAAACCCTACTTTGTGCTATTGAATTGGAATCTTTACAAATTCTCTATCAACAAATCTTTCAAGCCTGTGCCGCTACTAATATTTCTCCTCTCCATTTATGGCACTCATGGCTCAGACACACCTTAATCAGTAAACTCCATCCTCTTATCTCTCATGGTTTATTAGGATCTATTCTGAATAAATCCTTGCATTGTGTATCATGTTAATTTGTAAAACAACTAGCTTTATCGTTTTCTAATAGTCATTCTCTTTTTGCTGCTTCTTTTGATCTTGTGCATTCTGATGTTTGGGGTCTATCTTCGACACCTACCATAGGAGGTTCCAGGCATTTTGTGTTATTTATTGATGATCATACTCATTTTACTTAGATATATCTTATGAAAAATCGCTCTGAGTTATCACAAATTAATATTGATTTTGCTACCATGGTCAAAACCAAGTTCTCTAAAATTATTAAAGTTTTAAGAATTGACAACGCTACTGAATATCTTAGTACCAAACTTCAATCCTTTATGAAAGAACAGGTACACTGACACAACAATCTTGTCCTTACACTTTTGAACAAAATGGGTGAGCTGAATGTAAACACAAATGGGCATTAAGTTTGCCATAAAGAAAAAGGGTTAAATTGCCCAAATTACCAACTTCATGGGTTTATTTGTTTCAATAAAAGTTTACAGGCTTAGTGAAGAATCTAAGATAAGTTCAATGGCTTAACATATGGTTTTACTTGTTTATTATCGAAGATTAGTGTATTCTTGGCATTAGGTCTGCAATAAAGAAAGAGGGTTAAATTACGCAAATTATCAATTTCTTGGGCTTATTTGCTTCAATAAAAGTTTAGAGGCTTTAATAAAAAATCGGAGATAAATTCAATGGATTAACATAGGGTTTTACTTGTTTATTATATGAGATTAGTGTATTCTTGGCATTTCAACTTGAATTTGCTAGTTGTATGACATTTTATGCCACTAAAAACTAAAAGCCCCTAAACTAGTCTCAAATTAGTATTTAAGCCCTTGAACTAAAAATATTACAATTAAGCCCTCCAACTCCCCAACTAGTGCAAATAAGCCCTAATCCCTAACGACCCAAACAATTGTAATATGATGTGCACTGAATCAATTTGTTCTTTCCCATCCACTATACCAAATAGATGTAGTTGCTGATGTACCATTATTCCACATAGATGCAGATGAATTTTTTTATTGTGCTTGTTTTGGTAATTTTTTATTTTTTTTCAACAAAATTTAGAGTTTAATATATGATGTTTAGTAGAGTTTATGTATGTTAAAAAATGCCATGAATTATGACCTTAGGTTCTTGTCTTCTTTTGTAATGTATGAATCATGAACAATGTATGTGGTATCTTCAACTTTTGTCAATGAAAAGAAGATGTGTAATTATTTTAGGAAAAATCCTATGTTAAGCCCCCAAACTTATCCCATATTCTCAATTAAGATTCTAAACTTTTATTAAAGTAAATAAAACCCCTAAACTTGGTATTCATGGTAATTTAACCATTTTTCTTTACAATAGACTTAATACCCATTTATGCATCATTTACATGAACAAAGTATTGATATGTCATTACTTACATGGTGAGTATTGACTTTATCCACACAAGCAATGCACAAATAAGTGTTAAGTTTGTCATAAGAAAAAGGATTAAATTACCTATACCAAGTTCTAGGACTTATTTACTTTAATAACAGTCTAGAGACTTAATCAGAAATTTGGGATAAGTTTGAGAGCTTAACATAGGGTTTTGCCATTATTTTACAATTAAACTCCAAGTTTTGGATTATTTAAAAAAAATATTAGAAAAATAAGATTGAGTTAAACATACAAGCTTTTAAAACTGAAAACTATTTGGAGTGTAGATACGGCAATATAGGTGTTGGCACTTCTGCTTTGAGTTGGAGGGCTTATTTGCATTATTTTTAGTTTAGGGATTTAAATGCTAATTTTGGGAAAGTCTAGGGGCTTAAGAAGGGTTTTTCCTTTTTATGCCATTAAGCGGTTCTAAGTAGAAACTAATGGAACTGGCTAATTGGCTAATTGGCTAATTGTATGCCTTTAAACGGTTTGAAAAGTTCAGTTTGAATTTTCTAATTTTATGGCATTTTCTAATTGAATTTTCAATTTGAAACATTATAATTTCTGTTAATTAGTAATTAAGTTGGTAGGCGATTAATTTGTGCTTTTGAGTTACTAACTAGAAAATTGATGAAATTGGCTAATGCTACACTATCTCTGCAATTTCACTGAAACGAAACCGAATTTCTCCAAAGTTACCCCATTCCAAGGGTGGACCATGTAAATGATCTTCATTTTGCCTTTCCATGATGCCCCGAATTACACGTTCAAATTTCCCGTCAAAAGTTTTGACCGTTCATTTTCCCTGGAAATGCGCTACCCAAAATAACTAGTGTTTTTTATTCAAAATTTATCCCAAATTAACTATCATTTTTAAAATTTTTAAAAATGACAAATATTTTTTTCAACTTTAACTTTATAGTTATCATTTAATTTTAATTTAACTATTTAATCTATCACCAAAACTTTCTCCTTATCTTTTTCTTTTCTTAAGGTTAATGCACGTAAATGAAAATAAAAACACTATAATTATAATCTCATGTAATAATATAAACTTATAATATAATGTGCTATTATATAATTAACTTTTTCTATTCAAGGATTCACCCATGATATTGTTTATATATTTATTTAATATCACGTCATAATTATAAATTTACAACTATACGAGGCATTATTATAACTATAATAATGTTGTGTAGATAAATGCATAAAATATCTTTAAATTCTTAATATGAGAAAAACTAAATATTGGCCATTTTTTTCAAAACAAAGAAAATAATTTTTATCTAATAACTTAAATAATTTAGTAATAATCTCTTTTTAAGTAGAAGCATAATTAATAGATTTTGAATTCGAATTATATAACATGTGATTGTGATAGGTTAAGGTTAAGGAACATAATAAGTTTACCTCATTGGGAAACTTATGATAAAAAAAAATGGACATATTTGAATAGACTTAATAAATTAATTGACGAAATAAATAAAAAATATATATTTTTTATAGTTCAAGAATGAAAAAAGTTCTTTTACAAAATAGTTTTAAGGACTAAAAATGTTTAACATTGATATTATGTAATAGAAACTCAGTTCATTTTAACTTTTATTATTTTCTATTATTCCTTACTTTTTGTTTGCCATTTTTCTTTCTATTGCAAAATTTTCAAGTTTTATTAGTTCTTTTCTTATGTTGTTGATAAATTAAAGCTAGATTTTGATTTTTGTATAAAGAATAAGTAAACCGATGGAAAATCCATGTTTTATTGGTGCTTTTCAGTTTATGAATTTGAAGGGGTCTAATTGAAGTAGTTATGTGGGGGGACATGCTTGAGTTCCTATCTGACGCGAGAAAGTTATGTTTAATTTCTTAAAGTGATGGGTATCAAACTTTTTTCATCGATAGCACGTCGAGGAAATCTTTAAGTATCTGCTAGTAAGAGTTTTCCTTTGGTGCCTACAGTCGTTTACTTTTTTCTTTCTGGCCATCAACATAGGCCATGGGCTTTGACTTGACTGGCTTGTAATATCATTAATTAATAAAAATTTACCTTCTCAATGCTTTGTGTGACCAAAATACAGACAAATGCACAACTGCACTTGACTAAATTTTAATGAGCAAGCTAGACTACATTAATATGTGTTGTTCTGATGAGAATTGAGTTCTACAACTGAATTGAAAGCCAAGGTTTCTGCTTCATGGCTCAAATGAACAGGATACAGATGCGTAAAAGAACCATGTTTAGCATTTACCTTCTCTTATTTGTGCTGTTTTGCCTTGGCGGATTTATTTTTGAACGGTTTAAAGGTTTTACGGCTTCCTTGGTCGTATCGGGATTACTGATCTTAGGTTCTAGTACTTTGGCCATAATTTTCACTCTGTTCCTTCTACTAGCTTTGCTTATTAGATCTAGCATAGTTATTTACACACTTTTTTATAGTGCTGTTACAGTAAGATAAAATGAACAAATAGATTTGTGAGGAAAAACCCTTCTGCAAGATGCAAGAAGTGGTTGTAGTTTTCCATTTATATATAATTACAGGATGAAATTT